TCATACTTCCCTTTCCATCTGTTGTAAAAAGGTCCTTCCCTTCACAACAGCATTGCTCCTGTAGAAGGGTGGCTCCTTTTTGGAAAGCAGCCATGGTTGTTGTTTTTTTGTGGTCCTCCCAAGTGAGCTATGGAGTTGGCTAGGAATGTCTATCCTTCCTTCCTTGTCCCTGTAAGTTCTCCTATCAAAATGGTACTTGGTTGAAGGCTGTGTGTTGTATAAGGTGATTCAAGTTCTCATCTGCAGGGATCCCTATAGTTACAGGCTCCAGCTGTCTGCACAGCAGGAATGGAATGCGCCCTGGGTAGGGGTGCTACAGTGTGTGGCTAAAGGCTTTGGAGTTGTCTCTGTGATGGTCTAGGGTAATGTCATGAAGGCATAACCATGGCTGCTTTATGTGAATTGGCTTTTTCCATGTATGGGTAATGGGGAAGAGGGAGGGGTCGCCATGATTGGCAGGTGTTTTGTGTCGCTATGTTCTCTGTCTAAAACAATATTAATGTTTCTTTTCAGTTTTGTTTCTGGAAGTATATGATGTCAACTACACTAAGCTGAAGTTACACTGATGTAAGCAGTTGCTGGTGTAGTCAGGACTATAGCACTGCATTACTACAAAGTCTGCAAATTTTGTAAGAGGACATCTATTTCTCTTCTGCAAAAAATATTACTTCATTTCAACGCTATTACTTTGACACTTTTTTACCTTTTCAATGTTTCCATACAAGCAGAACAAGTTGAAGACTCTTGAGCAGTTCATCTTTTGCTGGTGCAATCCACTAACCATGACAACAGAACCTGAGGGGTTCCCTCCATGCATGTAAGATGAGGAGGCCTGGGGAAGCGGATAAGCAACAAGCTCTGGAGTGTCACGAGATGCCATTCTGTATCGGCTTGGTAAAGGTAACAGAGGACCATGTGAGCCTAAAGAAGACAACTCACCCGTTAATGTGGTTGGAACAGCTTCATTGATCTAATGGGTACATTTAGGATACAATTTTTGAAAACTTGCAACAATTTTTTCTTTGCAACTACTTTTTGCAAAGTAACTGAAGATGTAGCTGATCATTTATTGCAGCAGTGGGCCACCATAAGAAGAAACCTTGCTGTCTTTTCTCCCCTTGGGCTTTTCTGCATGCTCAACTTACTACTGATTTTCTTGAGAGTTGATCCATAAGCTCTGGGATTGGTTTGGGCATGGTTGTTCTGCACATCTGCCCTTCCTGTGCATTTTCACAGTTGTGGAGTCAGTTTATTTTCTCCCCCAAATGGATTTTCAAGGGAGGGTACTTTCATCAACAGTGGTATCACTGGTGGCATCACAGGAAGAAGGAGACTGGATTTATACCCCCGCCCTTCACTACCCAAAGGTGTCTCAGAGCGGCTTACAAACTCCTTTCCCTTCCCCTCCCCACAACAGACACCCTGTGAGGTAGGTGGGGCTGAGAGCTCTGACAGAAACTGCTCTTTTTCAAGGACAGCTCTTATCAGAACTATGGCTTGCCCAAGGTCATCCAGCCGCTGCGAGTGGAGGAGTGGGGAATCAAACCCAGTTCTCCTAGATTAGAGTCTGTGCACTTAACCACTACACCGCGCACTTAACCACTATACCACGCAGTTTAACCACTACACCGCACTCCCCCCTTTAAATATCGATATATCACTGGAGTGTTGCAACAACAGGCTTAAGAGATTCTCTGAATTTCCACTTTCATTTTTTAAAAATGTAAGTCTCTAGCAGCTTCCCTCACAGAGATATGCCTTTTTAAGTAGGAAGAGTAACCTTTACCACAATGAAGCCTGGAGTTACCTCTACTGATGAAGAATGAAGTTTTAGCCACCATCACCAAGCTAGGTTATCAAAAAATAGCAAGTATGTATAAAAAACTAGATTTCAGAAACGTAAAGGCTGTGTAAAACAGAGAAGTCCTTCTACAACTCCACTACTGAGTAATCCCACAATAGTTAATAGGGCTGCTTTTTAAAAACCTTGAAAGAGCATGCATTTTCTAGATTACATCAGGATGTCACCCTGTTATGACAAGCAATGTTTCTTTGTTACAGGGTTAAGAGTTGGAACCCTTTAATTACTATGCAGTTCAGGAACTGAAGACTTCCTGGATCACAAGAAATTATTAGCCAATTTGTCGAAATAGAACAAGAAGACAAGCTATAATTTGTTCTCTTGCTCATAAATGAAGTTTAATCCATGGTTTAGAATTCTGGTTTGTAGTTAAGAGAACAACTATGATTTGTTGCTTTGGCCAAATCAGATGTAATACAACACTCTGGTTTGTTTGGCACATGGAAGTCTTCAGATCCCAAGATACATGTGAGGAGAAGAATGATGTTTGTACAACTGCTCAAGGATTTTCATGGCTTGTTCCCAGCACAGAAAACCATAGTTTGTCATTACGTACTAATGTTACTTAGTTCACGCTCTTTCCAGAGAGCTGATACAAGACTACTTGGCCGACAAGTAAGACAGTAGTAACTTTAGTTACTTCTCCCAGTTTGATTTAAAATTATGTACCACATTTTTATCCAGCCCCCCTTTCAATGAGCTCAGAGTTGCATAATTCAGCATATGAACAGTTCTTCTGATCAATACACTAGAAGCCATATAAACATCTCACTAACTTACCATAGCCATCATGCCTAAATGAAGAGGGGTGCTCTCCTAAAATAGCTTGCCTCTGACGGCCTTTGCCTCTGTCTAAGAAGAAAAAGTAGTATTAACAAAAACAGAAGACTTAGTCAAATATACTGGAATTTCATTGGTACTTTTGATTAAGAGCAGCCCTACTGGATCAGACCAAGGGTCCATTTAGTCCAGCATCCAGTTTCTAACAGTGGCAAGCCTGATCTTTCCAAGTTATTTTAAGGTATTACTTTTGATTTCTTTAAGATATTCACTTACACTGATTTTCTCTAATACAATACAGTTGCAGGACACCGGAGTTTAGCCACCATTAAAATATTGCATACAAAAAACATTTTGACACTTTAAACCTAAGACAACTGACAGTTCCTTAATATCACATAAACCTACAGACAATACAGTAGAGTCAAAATTACCTATAAATCTCTTAAAAACAAGTTGTGAATGCAGTACTTTTGAAGGACAGTACCTGAATCATACTATTAGCTTCAACAGCAACACATTTTCAAAGTGGGCTTCGTTCAAGAAGTTTCAGCAAAATCCAACAACAACCTGTATTACATGGTTTCATAATCAGTAAACAGAGAGCACCATGTGTGCGTACATACATCATCAAATCAACAGGTATTGGTTTGGGGGAGTGCTGAAAGGATTTCACATTACTATACTACCAATATTTATTACAGCTTATGTTAGAGATGCCATATAATGTCACTCTTAAAAGCACTTTTAACAATCAAAAGCTTTCAGCAAACTGCATTTTATACAAGAGTGTAAAGTTAACCTGGGGTCAACACTACTGGATAAAAGCAGTGCACCAACCTTAAGTTGTTATTTAAGAAAGCCAAATGTTTATTACAAATTTTCTTAGAAAGCAGCAGTTAAATTTAACCCATGCTGCTTGTTTTTATTAAGCAAATAAAAATGCTGATACTTTAGTTTGTTGCCACACAATGAGAAATGAGAAAGAGACAGCCAGCCACAGCTAAGCACAATTTAACAGATTTATTTCAAAGGGAAAGTTAAGCATATGCTTCATATCTCTCAGTAAAAATTAATGGCCCTAACAACTTTAATTTTTATTTAAAACAAAAGCTATTTTTCAGTATTGGGCATGTTGGTCAAGTTTTTTGTAATGAAATCTCCGCTATGAAATTAAGTGGCAATTGCTTTTATAATTTTATTCAAGTCGGGGGAAATGAAAAGAGGGAAAGATTTTAGTACCCAATCCTAAACATGTTCCTAGGAAGCAGATCACTGATTTCCATATAATTTATTTCTGATGGGGCTTTTTACTGGAATAAAAACTGCCTTTAAAAAGGTTTACTTTAAGGGCCCTATTTCCCCATTCCAGGAAAACCTTTATGTGTGAAGGATTTCATAAATAATAGTCTGTTTATATAAAAGACTGCAGAAACTGTATGTTTTGAAAAATAAATTAAAGGCTAACACATTGCTCTTAGACTTAAATTTTTGAGTAACATGCATTGGTTAGACTGGTTTGAAAGAAGGAAATTCAAATTGCAACAGCTCTGAAGGTGATTTGGGAAAAATTACTCTCTCATCCTAACCTACCTCAAAGTCGCTGTGAGGCCAAAGAGCCACTTTGAGCACTTTGGAAAAAAGGACAGGATGCAAATGTAACCAAAAATGAATCTTTACAGCCAGATTGACTCCTGTTGCCAATTAAGCAATGAGCTCAAGTAAAGAAACTCAAGTAGAAGCCTCTTTGACAAAGTTTTCTTGGTAAAGCTAGAACCTTACAAGCTATTAGAGAGAAAAGAAGGAATGGCTTGAAGGATGCATGTTAATTAGCCTGTTACAAGGTCACTTTCTGTTGGAATGCCAGAAAGCTCACTTTAAAAGCAAGCATTTTCAGTCCTCTGGCTCCTCTGACATCTCTAGTGTTCCATGCCAGTAGAAGAAACATTGTCACTTAGTATGCTGCTCACAGAAAGGAAATACTTCAACCATGGCCTGTGTAGCTTCATTAGAATTTCTGTGGGCAGCAGTTTCCCAAGTTAAGACATGAACGGCAGTATTCAGAGAAAACTGTGTATGCTCCTATTCATAGTTTCTTGGGCCAGGAAGAAGTCATAAAGAAAGAAAAATATCAAGAAAAATAGTAGTTACCCATTTTACCATTCCAATTCCTTTTATTCTGCAAACTGTATCCATCAAGTCAAATAAAAAAAGAAATCTTAGGGCTGGATCCAAAGAATGTAAAAGTTAGTTCCACATACCCAACAAAGCTGTGGTCTTGTGTTTCTCAGATCAAAGTCCTTAATGCTGCATGACAAAACCCTTTGGAAGTTAGGGCAGTTTCAACAGCAGATTGCCATGTGGCATGTGGTCTGTTTGGCCAAAGAGTCCACTGGGCATGCCCAAACAATTTCTCATTTCCCATGGCTTTATTTACTGGGACAATATATAGTCCATAAATAAACTCTGTCAGCCAATTGCTTAATATTATGAACACAAGTGAGTCACTTAAAGCAACCCTCTCTACCTTTTCAGTTTCAAGTATAGAGTCAGTTTGGAAACAAAATTTGAGCTTTAATACAAGTGCTGAAGTTGGACAATTTGCTAACCAATACTGCAGCCCCTTGTTAACTTTTTACAAAAACTCGATTCTGTATGTCCAAGGGCTAAGTTTTATTAAGACATTTCAGAAGCCAGTGCACTACTGATAAAATCCAACCTTTTGGCAAGAGTTAAAAGGCAAGTTGAAGCCTTCACTTTCACATTTAAGACTTAAAAGATACTCTACCTTGATAAGGTAAGTTCCCAACTCCATGTTATAAATGCCTAGATTTTCAAAAGGTACATTACAGCAATTATACACAAATCATTTAGTTACAGAGAATATTTACAGAAATCAAACTACACAGCAATTATGTGTTACATTTTCATGCAATGGTTTTACTGCTGAAAGTAACATTCCAACTAGGTCTTGTGGTAAAGAAATATGAAGACACATTATACTTTATGTCAGATGTTAATACTTGAGGGGATGTGTTTGACAGGGTGCTACTGAATTCCAGTAATTTTGAAATAAATGCATTCTTTCCATTAACTATAAAACAACATTTCCACTGGAAAACCTAGTCAGTTTTCTCTTACATACAGAAAAGAAAATTACAACCATTGACAGGAGAAAAACAAGAGTTTGGATCTTCCATTTAATGGAGTTTCATTCTACAACTGTAATTTTAAAGGGACATAGGTGTGAAAACACATGCAAGCTGAATTAGAATGGCTACAGTCTACCATGGCGTTCATACCATGCAAACAAGAAGAAGTGTGAGTGTCCTCCTTGATATGCTTGTGGTGATGGTGCATGCAGTATGCAGTCAAGGTGAGTTGCAAGTCTGAGATTTTTCAGAGGGCCTTTTGATGATGCCGATGTGGTGCATGATGAAGTGTAGAGTCAGCCTGCTGGAGGTCCTCTATCCTTCTTAATGCCTTGTCCAACATATGGGGAACAATCCTTTCCATGGAGAAGCAGTGTGCAAGTTTGTAGTTTGTAAGGAATAATCTGCATCAGGGTCCTCTCCTCCAAAGAGTGAGAGCTGCTTGGAGAAATGCAAGTCCTTGTACTGCAAACATGCTTGCATGTGTGGGCTCCTTCTTGAACTAAATAGCTCAATATGACCAACAGGGGGCACTAATGTTGAGAGTTATTCTTTTCCAGGATTACAAGATAAGGTTTTACAGCAGAACATCACCAGTAATACTTGGCTTGAAATGACTAATGCATTAGACAAGCTAACTGCATGTCTGATATACAGTTAAACACATACACGCAGGACCATTACGAAGACACTTACCTCGTCTGCCCAGGTATGGTTTAGTGTAGTCCCAGCTATCATTGTCATTTCGAATGACATTAAGTCGAGTTGGCTGTTGAAATAAACAGACAAGAGTTTTAACCAATGTTTCTTCTCTCACACCCAAAAGAGCATAAGAACTTAAAATAGTAAGAATGTTACCCGTGCATATTCGATTTTTAGTGTGCAACATCCCGCATATATGTCTGCTCCGTTGAGTGCTGCTTTTGCCTTCTGGGCACATAAAACCGATTCAAACATAGGTTATGTTAAGGATTTTTCACTTAAACCAGTCTTTGCTTTGGGGAAGGGCTGTTTTAAAAGAAGCAGACATTAGGAAATATATTGGTTGGCACCATAATGCCACAGGTGCCAGATTGGGGATTACTGGCCCTATAACACAAATCATCAATAATTAACACCACAGAAAATTTAAAGTTTTAGAAAGGATATTCAACCATGGCTTGTATTCCATTCCTCTTGAATATGACAATACGCTGTACCTTCCCAACAGGATTGCATACTGTATACAAGACATCCTATAGAAGAAGAAAATACTCAAGTATTTGAAGCATTGCTTTAAAGTATTCAAAAAGATTCAGCAAATTCCCTGACCTGGATAGCCCAGGCAAGACCAAACGTGTCAAATCTTGGAAGCTAAGCAGGGCCAACTCTGGCAAGTACTTGGAAGGGTGACCTCCAAGGAATAACCGAGGTGGGATGCAGAGGCAGGCTAAATCATGCAACCTCTCTGAAAAACGACTAAACTCCCAGTAGGGGTCACCAGAGGTCAACCATTACTTTCAGGCAAGCACACAAACACACACAAAATTTTAAAAAAAGATTCAGCAAATGGTCATCAAGTTAAAATGTACTACCACAAAAATATTATTTAACCTGTAACTGGATTATTTGAAAGAGAGCATATTATGCATAGGCAAAGAAATGCACTTATCCCCAAGTTACTGATAGGATTTCTCACAATAACACCTGCCCTGAAACAGTATGTAACAATGTGAGAAAAACTTAGCAGTTAACAGTTCAATTAATCAAGTGGCTAATAAAGAACAAGGTGAAGCAGAATCCAGACAAGATGGAAGTGATTCTTCTGCTCATGAAGGCTGATGCTTTGGAAGGATCAGACCCTCTTATTTTGGACAGAATAGAGTAGTTAAAGAACCTGAGAATGCTCATGCACCCAGCCTTGCCATTTAAATAGGAGGGTGGCATGGCGTCCAAGAGTGCTTTCTGTCAGCTGCATCTGGGCTGCCAACTCTGCTCCAAAGGGAGAACACGAAAATGTGAGAGGATGTTTACAGGACAAACTTATGTTTAAAAATAAGGCATACCACCGTAATTGGATAAAGAGGATTCTGAACCGATAAGAGCAGAACTTTGTTTCCACCAGAGGGGTCATCTGTGTTTCCTGGACGAGTGATTCTTTTGCTTGTTGAATAATTGAAAAATGCTTGTTGTCCAGCTATATATACTTGTTCATCTGCTGCAAATGTCACACACTTCTTGGCACTTTCAATATTCTCAAATTCCACTAAAGCCTGGCGCTTAAATGGCATCATCATCACATAACTACAAAACAAGCAAGTTAACATAATTTCCTTTAAATTGTATACTAAAAACAAACAAAAAAATTAGCATCATGTTTACTGTATAAAGCCAAAGGTAATTACAATCCGGACACACAAAAGGGACATAAACAGCTAAAGCAAAAACATAATATTAAAAACTCTTTAAAGGCTCTGACCTGGATAGTGCAGGCAAGCCCGATCTCATCAGATCTCAGAAGCTAAGCATTTGAAGGGAGACCTCCAAGGAATACCATGGCTGTGACACAGAGACAGGCAATGGCAAGCCACCTCTGAATGTCCCTTGCCTCAAGCCCCATTAGGGGTTGCCACAAGTCAGCTTGACTTGGTGGCAATTTTTTTTTAAAACCTCTAAAAACATTTAAAACATGTAAACATCTTCTCTATATACAATTAAAATAGTTCAGCCTTTAGACACAGCTCTGTCCTGTATTTTCTTGGCTGCCAAGATGAATTGTGCCACTCTACAAGACACATGCCAATTGGAATTGGAAAGAAGGGAAATCAATTTCTCCACCACAGGAGAAGAATGTATACCCTTTAAAATCTCAGCAAGAAATTTACTTCTGGGTTCTATATACAAAGGACAAGACAAAATATAATGTCGAAGATCTCCTGGAACCAAGGTTCCACAAATACACAGTTTAAAGTTTTACTTAAAGATCTGACTTTAGATTTTTACTGCAAACTCACAAAAAGCTACTTTGATTCTGAAAGTCCATCCTGGTTCAGTAATTATAACCACAATTTAAATATTAATGAGCCATTAAAATGATGATAGAAAAAAGGCCGTTTCTCATGTTACAAGTTAAATAATTCAGCAAATGTGATGCTGAGATTAGTAGTATCTATATTTAGCGATATCAGCACCATCAAAAGCATAAAATTATCTTTAACAGTTAGCTGTGAATCCCCCAAGATAGACTAAACATACCATATGGTTCCAAATTTTTCTAGCGCCTCTACAAGGTCTGCTTCCACAACTGATTCACAGAGTCCTCGGACATGGACAACAGGAGAAACTGAAACTTTGTGATGACTTCCACCTGCATCCTAGCAAGAGCAAGCATTAGACTTTTACCTTTACAGATCTTAATACATCAAATAAAATATTACAGGCAATAAAAACAACAAATCTCTCAATCTTTTCCCCACCAAATTCTAATTAACACCTTAAATGTTCAAGTCTAAACATATTTGCTACTTTGGGCTATGAGTATTGCATACATACTTATCTTGCAAGTTATCTTGCAAAGCCCTTAATTGACTCTTGGAACTAAAGTTGTGCTAATTAAAAGCCAGTGACAATGGCATAATATTTCTCCACTGTAACACGGAAGGAGAGCAGGAAAGACTTGATGCCAGGATAGAAAAACTGCAGGCTTTTGTGTTTTAAACCAGCAGAAGAGATGTGTAAGAGGAAAAGGCACAGTTCCCCCAAACCTCAGCAACCTACAGTTAAGAAAATGTTAATAAAATGATTGTCTATTATTTCTGGCAGCCTTGCCTGGGTTCAACACTATTTTGGAGGACTGCATGAGCACTCTTCACTGTATCAGGGTCTGAGGCATCTAAAGAATTAAAAAATAGAAAGATTTTAAAGGGTCATACAATGACACAGGAATACACGGTTGGGCTAAATTTATGTTGCCTGTTATAAAGATGTTATAGTTGCTATTCAACAAGTATCCCCGAGATTTGTGCAGCCGCCTTTGTACAACATTCACTAGGGATTCAAAAAGGGGAAAGGGATGACTGAATTCTTCTAGCACTGCATATGAATTCACTTCAACTAGTGTATTTGTTGAGGGAGACATTTAAACCCACATGCACACACAAAAGTAACTACTGTGCAGTGTTCCCTCTAAGCTGAGTTAGTGTGAGCTAGCTCATAGTTTTTTAGCCTCCAGCTCACATTTTTGTCTTAGCTCAGGAAGGACAACTCCCCAGCAAACTAATTTATGCAACAGCCAAATTGCTGGCTCACAACTTTAATGCCAGTAGCTCACCAAGTAGGATTTTTGCTCACAAGACTCCACAGCTTAGAGGGAGCATTGCTACTGTGTATCTAATGCTTGATAGAACAGTAATGACAAATTATTTATCAACCATGCCAATGTATAATGGCATGCCTATAACTGTGACTATAGGGGCTGCGATGGCTCAGTGGTTAAGATGCTGAACTGCAAACTGGAAGGCTGGTAGTTCAGCAGTTCGAGACCCAAGTGCTGCATGATGGAGTGAGCTCCCGTCTCTGGTCCCAGCTCCTGCCAACCTAGCAGTTCGAAAGCAAGAAACTGCAAATAGATAAATAGGTACTGCTTTGGTGGGAAGGTAACAGTGCTTCATGTGCCTCACGTCTAGTCATGCCGGCTACATGACCACAGAAACATCTTCAGACAGCGCTGGCTCTTCGGCTTGGAAATGGAGACAAGCACCGCCCCCTAGAATTGGATTCGACTGGCTTTCAAGAAAGGGAAATCTTTACTATGACTGTGACTGTGAATGCATTTTGACTGCAAATGTAGCCCCTACTACACTGTGCAAAAGACAATCAGAGTAACAGAGTAACAGATAATGAAAAACCATCCACCTATAACTTTCAGTTCACAAACCTAGAAACAGAAGTGTAAAGGTTACATAGGATGACCGATATGTGCAGAGGTACAGTGCTAGCAGCAAAGAACTTTATATTCACTACCGCTTTGAGCAGGGCAGCATCTACAAACAAATAACTGGAACTTAGTTATCCAACACAAAATCCGCTGATTTAACTGAAATGAATTACTGATAAAATAAGAACTTTTGTATATTTCCTTTCTATCTCAAAGCCTTCACTGTTTCCAAATTGCCCTACAGTCAGTCACTGTAATCCAAGCAATCAACATTACATAAAGTAATGAGAGGCATACCTTTCAACAAAATACTGCATCGTAATGGCTGTGTGGCTGGGGATCTACAGTATCACTTCCATAACAGATAATCACTAATCTAAATACACTGGTCAACTGTTTAAACTCATAACCTTAAATGAGATATGCAAGACTACATCTGATTTTGAAACAATGATGAGATTATTCTTTTTCTATGCAATATCCATCATAATGTACATAACATTCATCATAAATGTACATAACAGAACGAGTGCAAAGCCTTATTGTAAGTGTAGGAATCTGGAAGAGACGAAGAATTAAACTACATGCATATATAAACTGCCAATTACAGTTTAATAGTAGCAAAGCTTCAGTAAACAGCTTAATTTGTAGTTTGAAGTTAACAAACTATCAGCTCCACAGATTTATGGATGTTATCTGACCTTTCCTTGCACTCAAGGTAGCTTACATCATGATAAAAGATACAATTTAGAACCAAGAATCAAAGTAAAAAACTACATATACAACAGTTTAGAAGCATCCCCCAAAGCATTACATCACTCTCTTCATAGATTAAAAGCTTGCTTAAAAGGAAGGTCTTACACAACCTTTATAAAAGCTAAATAGTGAAACTGCTTGCCCAGTTTCTACGCTGATTCTTGAAGGAAGGTACCTCCATTGAAAAGTCTTTTTATTTTGCATATGTGCATTTACATAACAGAATCATACTCAGCCACTGAGTGAGATCCATTTGATCATGGCTTATTCAGGGCACAGACAACAGCTCCTGGTTATTTGTTCAAAGAAATATAAGGCTGGGCACCATCTGATGACAATCCATACCATACCCACAGACAATGTTCCCTCTAAGCTGTGGAGTCTTGTGAGCAAAAATTCTACTTTGTGAGCTACTGGCATTAAAGTTGTGAGCAAGTGATTTGGCTACTGCATAAATTAGTTTGCTCTGGAGCCCTCCTTCCTGAGCCAAGACAAAAATCTGTGAGCTGGGGGCTAAAAAACTGTGAGCTAGCTCACACCAACTCAGCTTAGAGGAAACACTGCCCACAGACCATTTTATTCAGAGCCTGGTTATGTAGATCATAGCACTGGAGGATCCACGATGATGAACCTAGCTACTCATGATACATCTGGACTATGCCTACACAACAAAGGAGGATTTTTGAAGCCATCAATCAGTTCACAAAACCATAGAATAAGAGCAATCTAGTGCATTGTCTAGCTGAATCAACCGTCTCTAATGAATGACAGCTTGCACTGAACACCTTTCGTACAATTATCTTCAAGAAAAGGTTCCCAAAAATACTGTCCCAATTGGGGGGGGGGGCTCATAGGCCATCCTGCTCTCCAGTTGCTAGTTTGGTCAATTTATGGCTATGACGCACACAAAGAGATGACGAATACTCCCATTCCCACAAACACTGCAGGACTCCCTTGTAAGGATGACAGACAGCAGAATAGTCTCCCCCCTCCTCCACGCCAACATCATTAAACAAATTCACATTTTACTTTTCCAACGGGAAAAAAGATAGTAGCTCGGAGCCGCATGGGCCTCGTTGTCGGGGCCAGGCAGGGGCAGAAGATAAACACTGTCAAGCAGCCTGCCCCACACCCTATGCACATACAGCCCTCTCATCTCTTGTGGAAGAGCATAACAAACGGCATAGAGGGGTGGGGGCTACAATACTCCCATCCACATTTCAACTTCCTTTGGAAGAGGGGGGAGGGTGAAGATTTAATTTCATGTGAGAAACACATTGCAGCTGAGATTTATGTGACCGAGGAGCGGGAAAAGTATCAGACTGAATTAGAAATGCACCCTCCCTCACCAGTCATCTTTGGATAAAAGAAGCTGAAAAGAAATAGCCGCCTTTCGGACTTAAAATAAATAAATAAATAAAATCCCTATTCCAAACTGATCAGTGGAATTACCAGCTTCTTTAGGAAGAAAAAGATAAAGATCTGAAACAAAAGCCACCAAAGTATCTGCGCTCCTTCTTGGTGGGATCGAGAATCTAAGAGGGACCCCGAAGTCTCAATCGCTTCGGTCCTGCGCACACACCGACGCGAGTAAGCCGCCTTGAACAGCCCGACTAACTCTCGAGTAAGCACGCCCAGGATCCGACTGCACGCGCATGCCGCGAGAAGCGGGACTACAGAAGCTCCCCCTTACCCCGCCGGAGAATCCCCCACTGCGAGGGACGGCCTTTTCCCTGTGGCTTTCGCCCTCCTCGGCCCCATACTCGATCTCGCCCTCCTCCGCGGCGGCACTGGGCTTCAGCCGCTTGGCCTGGCTCTCGTAAGCGCCATCCTCTTCTTCCTCGTACTGCTCCCCAGACGACGGCGAGGACATGGCGTCGGCTCTGGAAAAGGAAGAGGGGTATACGGAGTTCCCCCACCCGGCGAACCGCGACGCACGTAGAAATATTAACAAAGCGGGCCCCGCAGTGATGCTCTGAGGCAATTCGCTTCAGACAACAGCCCAGCGACACAACGAGAAGTAACGTGCGAGAAAGGCCCCAGAGGCCCTGGCCTGCGATTGGACAGATTTGTAAGCTGGGACGCTGGGACTGACTAACGGGGACGGTACTCGCCAGCTTCGGAGCATAGGGTTGGAAGAGAGGAATGTCTGTCATTGCCCGAGAAATTCTCCTCGTTGGAGTCCCCGCCCCTCCCAGTTATTGTTTGGAGCTGGACTTCTTCGCTTGATTAAAAGCACAAAGTAAGCGGAGGTACAGACGTGCGCGGGCGCTTCATGTTTCCCTGGCCAACGACTTTACCTCGTGCGTCTTCCTCGAGGCGACCGGGGAGGGGGGGGAATAGTGGGGGATTCCTGCCAAATCCGAGTGGTGACAGGGTAGAAAGTGCCTGGAACTGGATATTTGGACGCGACAGGCGATACTAAAGGTTTCTCTTCCAGGGGAAAGTTCAGAGCCATTTAAGTTGTCCTGTAGAGGAAAGTTCAGAGTTTTTGCAGTAGTTAGTTTGCTTGAGTGGATAGTTTTCAGAAGTGATGAAGGTAGAGCTCATTCGACCTGTCGTCTCTGGAACGCTTGGTACATAAGACAGGATGGGCGCCGCTATGTGCAATGCGCAGTTTCCCCTCTCTTTCCAGGAATGTGGCGTGCAAAGCTGTGTAATTTTCAACGTTTGTATTTAGGCTGAGGGATAAGGAACCAGAAACCGTAATTAGGGAACTGAGAAGCGACTTCAGCCTCATGGCTCCTTAGGCAGACTAGAGAGCACTGTACATACAGCCAACTGTAAAATTATTTCACTTTATTATTGTATTTTTAACTGCAAGTCAAGCTACGGCTGTTATTTGCCAGTTCCGTTACCAGATCAACTGGGCTAGATGGGGACAGCATTCTGTCTACGCTTTGGCTGATTACTGTTTTTGTTGTTGTTCAGTCGCACAGTCCTCCGACTCTTTGCAACCCCATGGACCACATCACGCCAGGCCCTCCTGTCCTCCATCGTCCTCTGGAGTTTGCTTAACTTCGTGTTCGTTGCATGGATAACACTGTCTAACCATCTCATTCTTTGCTGTCCTCTTCTTCTGATACCTTCAATCTTTCCCAGTGATGTAGTTCCCTTCTCATTTGGTGGCCAAAGTATTTGAGCTTCAGCTTCAGTATCTGGCCTTCCAAGGAACAGTCAGATGCCAGATGCCATGGTCTTAGTTCTTTTGATGTTGAGTTTCAAGCCAACGTTTGCACTTTCCTCTTTCACTCTCTGCAAGAACCTCTTGAGGTCCTTGTTACTTTCTGCCATTAGAGTGGTAGCATCTGCATATCTGAGGTTGTTGATGTTTTTCCCAGCAATCTTAATTCCGGCTTGTGATTCATCCAGGCCGGCATTTCGCATGATGTACTCTGCATATAAATTAAATAAGCAGGGTGACAGTATACATCCTTGTCATACTCCTTTTCCTGTGCTAAACCAATCAGTTGTTATTCTGTCAATGGTGAGGTAGTTGAAAAATCTGTTGTGCATTTCTGTTAATATTGATCATTAGGTAATTTTACCCTGTGTTTTTTGCTGTGGTTTTGGGGTATACCTTGCATTATATTTTATTTTGTAAGAACATTAGAACATAAGAGAAGCCATGTTGGATCAGGCCAATGACTTATCCAGTCCAACATTCTGTGGCGCACACTAGCCAAAAACCAGGTGCCATCAGGAGATCCACCAAGTAGGGCCGGAACTCCAGAAGCCCTCCCACTGTTGCCCCGCAAACACCAAGAATACAGAGCCTCACTGACCCAGACAGACTGTTCCATCTATACCTTGTGGCTATTAGCCACTGGTAGATCTCTGCTCCATATCTATATATCTAATAACCAAGTTGTCCGCTCTGTGCGGATATCTAAATCCGCACATCGGGGGCAGGGAGATTTTCCTGCACATTTGGGGCAATCCCCAGATGTGCAGAAAAATCTGAAAAGTTGAAAAAAATATAGGGTGGATACTTAAATCCTCCCAAAAGTAAAAGAGAACTGCCTCGCTGCCGCCTCCGCTTGAGGGGGGTGGTCGAAGACTTGGCAGGCCAGCGGCTGTGAGCTGCTCAGCCCTCGCCGCTGCAGGGGAGAAGCTTGGCGGGCTAACCAGGCCTCGCTGCTGCTAGGGGGAGGGACAAGGCATGGCGGGCCGAGCTCAGGCCTCGCTGCTGTTACTGTGGGGGGGGGGGGGGGAGGTTTGGCGGGTCCAGTGGCTCGGAGCCACACGGGCCTCGCCACCATTGCTGGGGGGACATTTGGTGGGCCTGGCGGCTCGGAGCCGCATGGGCCTCGCCATCGGGGCCAGGCAGGGGCAGGAGAACAGTGGAGAAGGCTTATCTGCAGCGGCTTCCTCCTCTGCGTGGAGCTCTCCCCCCCCCACGAGTATCGTGGGTCGACGCGGCTTGTGTTTGTCTAATCCCCTGTTGAAGCTGTCTGTGCTTGTAGCCACCACCACTTCCTGTGCAAGTGGATTCCACGAGTTAATTACTCTTAGGGTGAAGAAGTACTTCCTTTTATCTGTTCTAAACCTACTGCTAATTAATTTAATTGAGTTCTTATATTGTATGAAATGAGTTCTTATATTGTATGAAAGGGCGAAAAGTACTTCT